CGTCTGACCCACTTTATAATCGGAGGGCCTGTTGTGTCAAATCGGAGGGCCTGTTGTCTGGACCTATGGCAGTCTCTATGGGGGTGCCACAGGGTTCAATTCTTGGGCCGACACTTTTCTCAGTGTATATGAATGATGTCGCTCTTGCTGCTGGTGACTCTCAGATCCACCTCTACGCAGACGACACCATTTTGTATACATCTGGCCCTTCATTGGACACTGTGTTAACAAACCTCCAAACGAGCTTCAATGCCATACAACACTCCTTCAGTAGCCTCCAACTGCTCTTAAACACTAGTAAAACTAAATGCATGCTTTTCAATCGAACGCTGCTGGCACCCGCCCACCCGACTAGAATCACCACTCTTGACGGGTCTGACCTAGAGTATGTGGACAACTACAAATACCTAGGTGTCTGGTTAGACTGTAAACTCTCCTTCCAGACTCACATAAAGAATCTCCAATCCAAAGTTAAATCTAGAATCGGCTTCCTATTTCGCAACAAAGCCTCCTTCACTCATGCTGCCAAACATGCCCTCGTAAAACTGACTATCCTTACCGATCCTTGACTTCAGCGATGTCATTTACAAAATAGCCTCCAACACTCTACTCAGCAAATTGGATGTAGTCTATCACAGTGCCATCCGTTTTGTCTCCAAAGCCCCATACGCTACCCACCACTGTGACCTGTACGCTCTTGTTGGCTGGTCCTCAGTACATGTTCGTCATCAAACCCACTGGCTCCAGGCCATCTATAAATCACTGCTAGGCAAATCCCCGCCTTATCTTAGCTCATTGGTCACCATAGCAGCACCCACCCGTAGTCTGCGCTCCAGCAGGTATATCTCACTGGTCATTCCCAAAGCCAACACCTCCTTTGGCCGCCATTCCTTCCAGTTCTCTGCTGCCAATGACTGGAACGAATTGCAAAAATCTCTGAAGCTGGAGACTCTTATCTCCCTCACTAACTTTAAGCATCAGTTGTCAGAGCACCTTACCGATCACTGCACCTGTACACTGCCCATCTGAAATTAGCCCACCCAACTACCTCATCCCCATATTGTTATTTATTTTGCTCTTTTGCACCCCAGTATCTCTATTTGCACATAATCTCTTGCACATCTAGCATTCCAGTGTTAATACTATTGTAATTATTTTGCACTATAGCCTATTTATTGCCTTACCTCCATAACTTGCTACATTTGCACACACTGTATATATATTTTCTGTTGTATTTTTGACTTTATGTTTTTTACCCCATATGTAACTCTGTGTTGTTTTTATCGCACTGCTTTGCTTTATCTTGGCCAGGTCGCAGTTGTAAATGAGAACTTGTTCTCAACTGGCTTACCTGGTTAAATAAAGGTGAAATAAAAAAAATTAAAAAATTACAAACGCCACCTTAAACGTTTGAAATCTTTTGTTTGAGCTCACCTACTTTTCTAAATATTTATAAGAATGTAATTGTTAACATGTACACTACCGGTCAAAAGTTTTTATAACACCTACTCATTCAAGGGTTTTTCTTTATTTGTACTATTTCAACATTGTAGAATAATAGTGAAGACATAAAAACTATGAAATAACACATGGAATCATGTACTAACCAAAAAAGTGTTAAAGAAATCAAAATATATTTTATATTTGAGATTCTTCAAATAGCCACCCTTTGCCTTGATGACAGCTTTGCACACTCTTGGTATGCTCTCAACCAGCTTCACCTGGAATGCTTTTCCAACAGTCTTGAAGGAGTTCCCACATATGCTGAGCACTTGTTGGCTGCTTTTCCTTCACTCTGCGGTCCGACTCATCCCAAACCATCTCAATTTTGGTTGAGGCCGGGGGATTGTGGAGGCCAGGTAATCTGATGCAGCACTCCATCACTCTCCTTCTTGGTCAAATTAGCCCTTACACCGCATGGAGGTGTGTTGGGTCATTGTCCTGTTGAAAAACAAATGATAGTCCCACTAAGCCCAAACCAGATGGGATGGCGTATTGCTGCAGAATGCTGTGATAGCCATGCTGGTTAAGTGTGCCTTGAATTCTAAATAAATCACAGACATTGTCACCAGCAAAGCACCCCCACACCATAACACCTCCTCCTCCATGCTTTACGGTGGGAAATACACATGCGGAGATCATCCATTCACCCACACCACGTCTCACAAAGACACGCCGGTTGGAACCAAAAATCTCAAATTTGGACTCCAGACCAAAGGACAAATTTCCACCGGTCTAATGTCCATTGCTCGTGTTTCTTGGCCCAAGCAAGTCTCTTTTTCTTATTGGTATCCTTTTAGTAGTGGTTTCTTTGCAGCAATTCGACCATGAAGGCCTGACTCAGACAATCTCCACTGAACAGTTGACGTTGAGATGTGTCTGTTACTTGAACTCTGTGAAGCATTTATTTGTGCTGCAATTTCTGAGGCTGGTAACTCTAATGAACTTATCCTCTGCAGCAGAGGTAACTCTGGGTCTTCCATTCCTGTGGCGGTCCTCATGAGAGCCAGTTTCATCATAGCGCTTGATGGTTTTTGCGACTGCACTTGAAGAAACTTTCAAAGTTCTTGACATTTTCCGTATTGACTGACCTTTGTGTTAAAGTAATGATGGACTGTCGTTTCTCTTTGCATATTTGAGCTGTTCTTGCCATAATATGGACTTGGTCTTTTAAAACCCCCACCCCCACCCCACACACACACACACACACACACACACCTTGTCACAACACAACTGATTGGCTCAAACTATTAGGAAGGAAAGAAATTCCACAAATTAACTTCTAACAAGGCACACCTGTTCATTGAAATGCATTCCAGGTGACTACCTCATGAAGCTGGTTGAGAGAATGCCAAGAGTGTGCAAAGCTGTAATCAAGGCAAAGGGTGGCTATTTAAAGAATCTAACATCACATGATTCCATATGTGTTATTTCATAGTTTTGATGTCTTCACTATTATTCTACAATGTAGAAATAGTAAAAATAAAGAAAAACCCTTGAATGAGTAGGTGTTCTAAAACTTTCGACCGGTAGTGTATATTGAGAGGATACACAGTTTACATGGTGCACTGCATAAGGATATACAGTGCATTCGGAAAGTATTCAGAAACCCTTTACATTTTCCATATTTTGTTACGTTACAGCCTTATTCTAAAATGGATTAAATAAAAACATGTCCTCATCAATCTACACACAATATACCCCATAATGACGAAGTGAAAACACGTTTTTAGAAATGTTTGTAAATTTATAAAAAATTAAAAACCCTTTGCTATGAGAATCAAAATTGAGCTCAGGTCCATCCTGTTTCCATTGATCATCCTTGAGATGTTTCTACAACTTGATTGGGAGTCCACCTGTGGTAAATTAAATTTATTGGACATGATTTGGAAAGGCACCCACCTGTCTATATAATATCCCACAGTTGCCAGTGCATGTCAGAGCAAAAACAAGCCATGAGGTCGAAGGAATTGTCCGTGGAGCTCCGAGACAGGATTGTGTCGAGGCACAGATCTGGGGATGGGTACCAAAAAATGTATGCAGCATTGAAGGTCCCCAAGAACACAGTGGCCTCCATCATTCTTAAATGGAAGAAGTTTGGAACCACCAAGACTCTTCCTAGAGCTGGCCACCCGGCCAAACTGAGCAATTGGGGGAGAAGGGCCTTGGTCAGGGAGGTGACCAAGAACCCGATGGTCACTCTGACAGAGCTCCAGAGTTCCTCTGTGGAGATGGGAGAACCTTCCAGAAGGATAACCATCTCTTCAGCACTCTACCAATCAGGCCTTTATGGTAGAGTGGCCAGACGGAAGCAACCCCTCAGTAAAAGACACATGACAGACAGTTTGGCAAAAGGCACCTAAAGGAGTCTGACCATGAAAAACAAGATTCTTTGGTCTGATGAAACCAAGATTGAACTCTTTGGCCTGAATGCCAAGCGTCACGTCTGGAGGAAACCTTGCACCATCCCTACAGTGAAGCATGGTGGAGGCAGCATCATGCTGTGGGGATATTTTTCAGCGGCAGGGACTGGGAGACTAGTCAGGATTGAGGGAAAGATGAACCGAGCAAAGTAAAGAGATCCTTGATGAAAACCTGCTCCAGAGTGCTCAGGGCCTCAGACTGGGGTGAAGGTTCACCTTCCAACAGGACAACAACCCTAAGCACACAGACAAGACAACACAGGAGTGGCTTCGGGACATGTCTCTGAATGTCCTTGAGTGGCCCAGCCAGAGCCCGGACTTGAACCCGATGGAGCATCTCTGGAGAGACCTGAAAATATCTGTGCAGCGATGCTCTCCATCCAACCTGACAGAGCTTGAGAGGATCTGCAGAGAAGAATGGGAGAAACTCCCCAAATACAGGTGTGCCAAGCTTGTAGCGTCATACCCAAGAAGACTTGAGGCTGTAATTGCTGCCAAAGGTGTTTCAACAAAGTACTGAGTAAAGTGTCTGAATACTTATGTAAATGTATTATTTCCATTTTTATTTGTAATACATTTGCAAACATTTCTAAAAACCTGTTTTTGATTTGTCATTATGGGGTATTGTGTGTAGATTGAGGGGGAAAAAAGATTTAATCAATTTTAGAATAAGGCTGTAACGTAACAATGTGGAAAAAGTCAAGGGGTCTGAATACTTTACGAATGCACTGTACATGTATGAAGATCATTAAGATAAGAAATATATTAAGTGTTTGAACCTCTAATACATTTATGAATACATTAATAAATGTAGGCTAATTTGGTTATGTACTGCTGTCAAATGGAAATTACTTATGCTTTCTCTTTTGAATAATAAACGTTATATAAAAGTGTAACTAAATACATACATTTTAAAGTGTACTGTCCTTATTGTTTCTTCAACTACTGTAGGGTGATTTTAATCCACTTTGCAACACGGACAATACAGGCACTACACCGAATATACTGAGACCCCATATTTGCATCGTGGGCAATATCTGCACTCCTACTGAGAATGAATCAGAAAAGAATGCACACTTGAGAATTCTAAACTTTATTAGGTTGATACATTTCAAGAAACACACTTATACTCTTAATGTTGACAAAACGTGAGCTGTAATGTTTTTTGTATAAAACAAACATACTGTAAGTTGTAGTTCCTGTCAAAGGAGGAACAATCTGTCGACAGTCAAGTGTTTTCTAACGCAAAAGTCTTGAGTTTGCACTGCAACAGTTTCAGTTAAGACTTAAGTGCCTGGAATGCAGAAACCGTACAAAGTATGTGACAGACAAGGCATTTGATAAAATAAAATAAACTACTATACATCCCTGACACATACAGTATATATCGTTTAATACCGAAGCCATCATCACTTTCCCAGTTGAAGGGGGATTTATGTTTACGTCAGGTGTTCATGAAAGCATTATGTACACCTAAAAAGGTGAATTCTTTGTAAATCACTGGCAATGCTGCCCTGACACTATTCAACATGAAAGGGTTTTGTTCTGTTGTCACTGATCCCAATCATCAGCTTTGTGTCTGTGACCCTCACTCTTCGGACAAGACTGAAGCCACCAATCTGTTTAACTTTAAAATACTGAGATGGCTCTAGGAATGAAGTTTATATTATTTTATAAGAGAGGGTAATTATCACAGGTTCTAGTAGAGATCAATCTAGTTCAATTAAGTCCACACTCGCACACTACTTTCCAAACATTTTGAAAGTATTTGTATCAGTTACCAATAGGAGTGAAGTACTCTTGTGCAATAATGGTTTGCTTTTGTCCAAGTAATGTTGTTGAAATGCTCTAACCAATAGAAGAGAGGAAATGCTCAGAGCAGCACACATTTGCGCCTCTTCTTGGGTTCCGGAGGCTCCAGGGCAGCCAGTATTGCCTCATCAAACACATTCTTTAGTCCTTTCTGCAAACACAAAACATGAATGTACCAAATACATATTTCAACCTTTCAGTGTGTAACCACAAAACTATTGTAATTGTTTGAATGTAAAAAACACATTTGACTGAACTGGGTGAGAGTTGTAATTTAAACTATCCTTTATTCATATATCATAACAGGTTTTAGTAATTCTCAAGATCGCAAAGATCTTAACATCCAATGGAATACGTAAAACTTTCAATACTGTTTAGTTACGGTCTTTGATATATTAGAAAAAAAAATACATTGATGTGATAGAAAAACATTAAGTTAGTTGTAGCTCATCATACTTGTTTAGACAGCACAGAAATGTTTCCTAGAAGGTTTGAATGGAACAGAAGCATATAAATACTGAGGTAATATATTTTAAAAGGAACACAAACTCAGCTGCAGCCTAATGTAAACTTGCACATTAAGAACTAAAATGGAAGTGTTGGCATCCTTGCCATGAAGGCCAAGGCAGTATGGTCTATTGTGATTAGGCCAAGTCAAAACAAAATCAGACATTGAAATGAAAGAAGTTAATGGGCACACATTTTAAAAGCGCAACCTGGTTAGTTACTTGACAGATAGTAATTTCTTTACATTAAAGAAGCAGCAGACGATCAGAGGCAAAACAAGATTTAAAAAGACGCTTGTCATCAGAACAGACAGCACTTTCTCTTTCGCTGGGTTTCAGGAGGTTCTAGTGCTGCTAGGATAGCTTCATCAAATACATTCTTCAGACCTCGCTAGAGAGGGGAGAAAGAGGAGAATATGACCAGCATTAGAGCGAGGTTAGTTAGCAGACAGACAAGATTAAAGAGCATTGTATGGATGAGTTTCCATGCAGTTCTAGGCCACCACTAACAGACAGAGTGAGACGGCAAGACAAGCTTAGCACAAAGACGACAGAGCAACGTGTACATCTAACACAATAGGTTGTTATCATGCAAGTCATAAGTATTACGACTCACCTGTGTCAGGGCAGAGCACTCAACGTATTTGACTGCCTTCAGGTCGCGGGCGAGCTTCTCAGCCATCTCAGGGGTGATGGGCTTCTGTTTGTTCTTGGCCAGTTTCTCTACTGTGGAAGGGTCATCTCTCAGATCAATCTGAGTTCCAACCAGCAGGAATGGTGTCTTGGGACAGTGGTGAGTGATTTCAGGTACCCACTGCAAGAGAGAGGAAACATTGTTTTCAAACACTCAGAATGGTCAGTCAGTCAGATAGTCAACGACCCCATAACTAGTATCTTCCCCATCACTTCATTTTGTGACCAAATTTACATTACCTTTAACCTACTATAAATAATTTATTTGAACACAAGTCTCAATATTCCTTTATTCAAAAATGTGCATTGTATGCTTCATGGGCTTGGCGTTCTACTCACCTTTTCTTTAACATTCTCAAATGAGGAGGGTGAAACACTAGAGAAACAAACTAGAAAAACATCCGTCTGGGGATAGCTCAAAGGTCGTAACCTGTCGTAATCCTCCTGACCTGTGGAGACAGGTATAAAGCATTGATTAAATGTGAATAGCAATCAACCAACATATTATTTATTAAAATTGGGAACTGATGACCATGTCCTTGAAAAGGATCTACTCTTACCTGCAGTATCAAATAATCCTAGGGTGTACGGCTCACCGCCAATCATGACAGTTACTGCATAGTTATCAAACACCTGTGATGAGAAAATGGAAAGAGAATTAGATATTTTTTTAAACCTTTATTTAACTAGGCAAGACAGTTAAGAACAAATTCTTATTTACAATGACGGCCTACACCAAACCCGGACGACGCTGGGCCAATTGTGCGCCGCCCTATGGGACTCCCAATCCCGGCTGGTTGTGATACAGTCTGGAATCGAATCAGGGGGTCTGTAGTGACGCCTCAAGCATTGAGATGCAGTGCCTTAGACCGCTGCGCCACTCGGGAGCGGTCTAAGGCATATCTGTCCTGTTCCATGATTATTCATAATGGTAGTCAGTGTGAAACATGAGAACGAGAAGCCACCCTCTAGGTCAGGTAATCAATAGATCAATAACCACTGAGAGAAATCCAATGTATAGATGTACTTACTGTTGGTACATATTCAGAGGGGAATTTGTTGGTTGTGTATGAAATCAAAAGGCAGGTTTTTCCCACTGCTCCATCTCCAACCACAACACATTTAATCGTCTGCATATTTGTGTTCTCTACTTTGTCTGAAAAAGACAAGTGAAAGTTAGCTTCAAGACTTCAGATGAGTGGCAGGGAAGTATCCACCACCAGCAGCTGTTGTTATGCTACTAGCTAATTAGCTGGCGTCTAAAATGGGTTTGCTAGCTAGCAACCCAGGTCTAAATGGAGAAGTTGTAGCTAGCAACAACCAACTAGCTACATTATGGACTTCGTTGTACAGACTCAATACAAATCTAGCTAGCTAACGTACTTGGTTATAGCTAATTTAAACTAACGCAGCTAGCTAACGTTAGCTAGCTAGCTGGGTGGGTCGGTGTTAGCAGCTAACGTTAGCTAACTGTCTGGCTAACTAGCTAGCGAGCTCATTCTCAATTTCCTATTAATTTAATTTATCCTAACAATGAATGACAAGCCTATAGCTAAAACACCTTCAATAATAGCTTTGGTAATCCTGTACATGTCAATTAGTACACTGTTGATGACGATAACATGTAATTCGGATGGTTTTCCTACCTCTTCCTCACTGAATCTGGTATTTACTTCACCGGGCGTTGGCAGCTGCTTGGCTTTCTGCTGCTAGTGACAGTGCGTGTGACCCCAGTCAACACCAGTAGGGGGTGTACGATAGCTAATAATTTCGATGTACATTTCTGGCCGATGTGGCTCTGGGACTATGAAACCACAGATTATCAACTATATTGACCAAATACTCAAGTGGCCGCTCTAACAATGAAAATACATGTCTTAAAAAATGGAACGCAGTAGGTGGCAGGCAAGATCAGGTGGGACCATTCTAGCCAATGAGGGGTCAGATACGCGTGTGAACAACAGGTTTAACTCCTATATAAAGTGTTTTTTCTCAAAGTTGCCGGAATGTCACGTGTCCTACTTATATCAGTACACTCCTGACAACCTATCCATTACGAAACTTCTATTTGATCATATAAGCCCCACGTAGCAAACAAGACATTACATTTTTTTAAAACCAAATTCGACACTCTCTTATTGACCTCTATACAAAAACTCCTCGCTTGATGAGCAAAAAAAAGCCACCAACTGGAGAAGACAGATTTTGGGGCCAGTTATCGCTCTCGCTTTGCCAACTGAAAGGTGCATACACCGCCATCTACTGTACTGGAGTGTGAGGCCAGTCACGGCCTCTATTAATCTACAGTATTTCTCTTATCTTGCCTACTGTTATGGAGTGTGAATTCATTACACTTTGTGACACAAAAAGGTAAGGGAAAAGGACAGAGAAAAGGTAAGAAAAATAGCCATACCAGCTAACCCTACACCCATTAAAACCTCACCACTATTCCACCACTTGGGACACTATCATTCAACACACCATGTAACTCCTCTGCAGTAAAATCTCATACACCCAAGTACTTCTGTGCAGCTGCCACCATGACATCTATTTTCTGTGTTTTACATTCAATTTCTGCGGTACAGTTGATAACAATGGCTATGAACGCTAAGAAGCCAACCTTACTGAAGCACATGTTATTCCTATCACTCTTTATTGGCCTCAGCCAACTCACAGGGAGCCTCTCAGGATCCCATCTTCCTCTACATTTTAGTCATTTAGCAGATGCTCTGATCCAGAGCGACTTACAGTTAGTGAGTGCATACATTTTCATACTGGCCCTACGTAGGAAACGAACCCACAACCCTGGCGTTGCAAGCGCCATGCTCTACCAACTGAGCTACAGGGGACTCCTCTACTACTCTCTTCACTGCCTCAGACACCTTCTGTACTACTCTGACCCTGGCAACCTCAACCTGCCTTTCTCTCACTGGACACTTCTGATCTCCAGCAACATGGGTACACCTACAGTTAACACAGCTTTTTCCAACAAAATTACACATTCCTTTGTCTCATGCCCTCCTGCACACTTCTCACATCTAGGAATCTCCCTCCTACATACACACTGCTGCAACATGACCATAAGCTTGATACCTAAAACACCGTAATTGGTTCAGGACAAAAGCTCTCACGGGATAACTGACACATCCTAACTTTACTTTGTCGGCTAAAGACTGCATCAAAACTCAGAAGGACAGACATTGTCATTGTTTCACCGCGCTCTCCATCGGGTCTGCGTCGCACCAAATGGCAGGCGTCACAGACACCGGGAATCTTACATTTCAGTTCAACAGTCCCCAAACTCTTCTCCACCCAACCACATGGATCAGCCAGAATGCAAGGATCCATTCTCTCCTAAAATCTCACTCCCACTGGGACAGAATCATCTTTATCATCGGACTCCTTTAGTAGAAAACTGTTCAAATGGTTCTTGCATCTTGAATTTCTGCCATGTCGCGTTGACTCAAAAAGCTCTACCTGGGACAATAGTTTGACTTCTGAAAACTCATGTCAAATAATTAATTAGCTTGGTGCTGGGACCTCAACCCAACCCAAGTCCCGGATGAAACATTGTTGTTGACTTGTTGACATGATTTCTGGATTTTATTTTATTTTATGAAACCGTAAAACTAAGAGGGGTAGGACTACCCAGCTCCTGAAATTATACTTCACATAATATAGACACATGTAGCCTATTTATTTAGATATTGTATATTGTTATTGGTGAAAAATCTGTTGATATGCCCTTGATTGAGCCACTTAATCCTAATTTGCTCAAGGGGTGCGGTACTACTATGGTTGACACCGACGCCCTCCCCTATAGACTAAACATTCTACCCTTTGAAAATATAATTTTTTAGGACTCGCCATGTTGCACTTTCCTACTGCACTATTGTTGTTGAAACGATAGATGCAGTGGTAGCAGTTGAAAAATATATGCCTGTAAAAATATATGTTAAAAATGACAATGTCATATTATAATTTACAATATGATCAAATACAAGGACATACACTGTACATTATTTTCATATTCTCATTTTCTCTGGAAAGCTATGTGGAAGTAACACAGTAGTTGATCTTAAATGAAATGGTAAACTTCATGCAGATCATACTGATCTGGCTTATTGCAAGGTCTTACAACACTGTGGGTGAAACATTCTGAACTTCACCAGCTGTGTAGACATTCCTTCCAGGTCTGGAGATGACACACCAGTACTGCCCCTCATCACTTTGAATCAGTGCACTCATTGTGACAGTGAAGACCCCAACATTCGTATCCTCCATGATGTAGCTCCTTTCTGTCACTCTGGGCTTGCTGGTCTTCACCACAATCTGACAATAATCTAAAATAGGTCCCCTACACCAGTACTTTGTGTTCTGCCTGTAGTAAGGATTGTACTGACAGGAGATTGTTACAGATCTATCCTGGTCTCCCGTTACCACTTTGGTATCGGACAGCTGAATGGAGTCCACACTCCTGCATGTTAGAGGGAGGAGAATGAAGAGTGAAGCTGTACAAACATTTCACATGGTCAGCATATGCAAAATTAACTTGAATAGAGTCGATTTGTTTTGTCTTGATGCTCTTATATGTATGGTAGTCATTCTCTTTCCTTCCCCTTAAAATGTTGAGCAACATCTGTTTGCCAGTTACGTGTGTATGTGTGTGCTCTTGTCATGTTCCTTTTTATTCACATGATTGGCAGGGCCGGATTGATTGCAATGGGGCAGGGATTTTTTTCTTTCTGTAGAATTGCAGGAAGTTAGCTAATTTTGGGGGGGCAGTAAAGGCCTCCATTTAAAGTTAGTTTTCTCTTCAAGTCAGATCATCGATTTAAAGGCCAATGAATGACCCCAGATCCTAGGTGTTCCTGTAAAGAATTTGGTTTTCTTTACTTGTTAGTTGACATTTTATAACAAACAGTGGTTTATTGGTCCTTTTGTGAGAAAACCACCAAACAAGGGTAACGCAGTTTATTTTTCTCTATAGGCTGCTTTACTCTCATGATTAAAAAATATACAAAAAGGATAAAGAATAATATATTAAACATATATGATACAAAACATAATTCCATTGAATAATCATTGCAATCAAAAACATGTTACATGTTTAGTAACCCCATCAAAATCATACAAAATAAACTTCAAAAGATTCCAATGCTGAGCTGTCTCCCACTCCTGTGACTTAAGAGCATTATCCTTGAAGAGATGCATATTTGTGCATTATTATGCATTTAAAACATCAGAATTGTGGATTCTAACACTGGCATATTCAGTCATCTCTGTGGCCGGCGATGGTTTGGCGTTAGCCCTTAGGATGGTCAGGTCACTGTAAATAACGTGGTCATCCATCATCAGTGCCTTGGATTTACCAACGTGCTCATTTTTAATAACAACAACCTGTAAAATAATATACAAACAATTTACAGACTAAAGTTGTGTATTGTGAGAGACTGGTCAAATTAGGCTTTTATCTCCTGTACAAATAATATGAATTTGTCTAAATGCTTAGGTATAGAGTCTGCTTATGGTCTTTGTTGAATGATGCATTTCCAAACCTGTGGTTTGTCTGTGGTTTTTGTTTCATCATCCAACTCTTTTGATTTTGACCCACATGCTGGAAAAAAAACAGAAGAAAGAAAAATATATATTTAAAAATGTTTCTCAGAATAAATCAATATACATCTCTGCCTATGTTACATTAAATAGGTTCAATAGGTTTCAAAATAAGATGATTACTCACCCAAAGCTATCTTTCTCCAGAGGGTATAAACAAGCAGACCTGATGCAGCCACCATAAGGAGTACACAAAAACAGGTGACCAGGCCAATAATGATCTGCTCCGCTGATATGGACCTAAAGCGTAAAAAAGAAGTAGAGAAAAACAGTGATTTAAGAGTTGAAAATGTAGCATAGAAGCCTTTTATCTGACTTGGCATGTGTGAAGAAAATGTATGAATTTGAGTGACTGTATGAATTAGTTGTAGAATTCAAGTCTTACCTTTGGTCAATTAATTTAGTTGTTGCTATGTATGTGGTTGTAGGACTAGTTGTTGTTGCTACTGTTGTTGGTGCTATTGTAGTAGTTGTTGCTATAAAGATATGAGTAAATGTATAGTAGCCATAACACAATAGAATAAATAGAGCAAAATTCAATTAGTGCTTTAATATTGTGTCAAAAGAATACCACGAAAAACAGCCAATGGAAACATTTGTTCATGACAACTTCATATAACAATCATACAGTATATTTTATTTGACTAATATTGCCTGTTTACACCTGTTTAAGTCCCAATCACTGCCACCACAAGGTCACCTTTCACTTATCCATGAACACAGCCAAGCACCAAAACAATGATGCAAAACCACTAACCAGTCTGAGGTATGAGTCCCATATGTAGAACATTACAATTAAATACACATATTTGATCACATCACAATGTAAAGATGTATGTGTGACAGTATATTATGTAAGAAATACTGTGGATTTTCTAAATCATCTTGTGAATAGGAAATGACTTACTTGATGGTTTGTTTCCCATTTTTGTCAGCAAATGTTGTTGTTCTCTATGAGTGAACGGAACAAAATGGTGAGGCATAACTTGACGCCCTAATGTATTTCAACACATCTTTTAATGTAGTCTAAACTAACAGTGAAAATGTTACATGGCCTAATGCCTTTATCAATCTGAAAACTGTCTTTGTCTGTGGTTATACAGTAGCCTAAGTAGACAAGTATACTATTGTGGTTTAAGGGGATAAAAGGAGAACAACCTGACATTCCAAAAAAGATAACACTTCTTACCTTTAGTAAAACTTCTAGAATGTTCTTAACATTCTGAGCCAGTACTGTGAAATTGTG